CAGCACCAGGTCCGTGGTGCCATTTCTTTGTGTGTATCACGGCAGCTCCTGCATTGAGCATCTGCCCCCTGGTGGTCAGTGCATGTCATAGCGACCGGTCGGAAGGTGGGAAGGATATTTAGCATGTTAGCCTTTTATATAGATAGACAGTACTAGAAGTCCTAACATAGCAATCAGACAAGAAAAAATAAAAGGCATACGAATTGCAAAGGAGAAAGTAAAACTGTCATTATTCGCAGATGATATACTATACATAGAGAACCCTCAAGACTCCACCAAAAAACTGCTAGATTTAACAAATGTAGCAGGATATAGCATCCAGAAATTGATGGCCGTTTTATACACCAATAATGAACGCTCAGAAAGAGAAACTAAAAAACAATCTCATTGCCCTGGCTGGTGTGCTCAGTGGTTAGAGCGTTGAATGGTTGGTAATAGGGACGTATCTGTTAGGATGTTTTCATATACACGTGAGATAAAATCCAAAGCCAGCTGGATTAAATAAGGAATTGGGGGAAGATTTGGTCTAGCAGCCCAATTTCCTCTGCGCTACTCTTCCTGTGTTGGCTTCTTATTCAATCGACTTTTCTTTTATAGTCAAAAGATAGCTTCCAGGAATTTAGTAACTGTACATTTTCAGGCTGAAATTCAGAGTAAGAAAATACGTGCCTTTATCCCAGCATTTCTACCAAAAGTCCAAAGATCTCATTCTGATTGATCTGTCTTAGATCACATGCTTGCCATAATGGCCTTATGTTAAGACACATGTTCCATTCCTATAATCTCTTCATAACATTCATTAAAGAAAACACATTAAAGCTGATCTTAGTGATTTAAACCTTTGTTATTACTAAATAATGGCATCACCAAATTAAAATTGATGGGTCAAGCACATCATACAACTTTCTCCATCTTCTTAAAGTTATTCCCCCAGACTTTAAGCATAACTCATCAAGACACACAAAAAAGTAAATCCTTCCCTGAATGTGAATCACTTTTTGAAGGATTCAGAAAGTGCTACCAGCTTACAGTGCAGTTTTATAATTCTTAACAGAACTGAAAGCAACACCACCATAGATTTTTCAGGAAGAAAAAGGCTCTTATACCACTTTTCCAAGATTATAGTAACAGAATTTAAAGAAAACAGAAGAGAATATAGATGTCTTGAGTTAGGCAAAATAAATAAATGTATGTTTTGTTTCATAGAGCTTTGAAATACAAGCAACTAAATAATCCACCCTGTACCTCAAGACTCCTCTCACCATATACTAGATCATCACCAAATCTGCCCTGTCCCCAAGTCTCCCACTTCCTCTCACCCTGCCTACACACACACACACACACACACACACACACACTCCCAATTAGGTCCTAAGAACAAAGCAGAGATGCACACTTTAGGGAGTTTTTTGCAAATGCACATTCCAAAGCCAAACAAACAAATTAATCCTGATCATACTTCTTATAAGCCATGTCCTTCATTCCTATAATTAGCACAGAAAATAGAAGGCAAAAACACCAATCAGAAAGGATATATGCACCCCTATGTTCATAGCAGCACAATTCACCATAGCTAAGATTTGGAAACAGCCTAAGTGCCCATCAGTAGATGAATGGGTTAGAAAACTGTGGTACATCTACACGATGGAATACTATGCTGCTGTAAAAAAGAAGGAACTCTTACCATTTGCAACAGCATGGATGGAACTGGAGAGCATTATGCTAAGTGAAATAAGCCAGTCAATGAAGGAAAAATACCACATGATCTCACACATTCATGGATAATAGAGACCATTACAAACTCTTGAACAATAATAGATACAGAGGCAGAGCTGCCTCAAACAGATTGTCAAACTGCAGCGGGAAGGCTGGGGAGGGTTGGGGGGCAGGAGGGAAGGATGCATATAAGCATAACCAAGGGACAGAAGACACTGGGGGGGCGTAAGGGAGGCCAGGGGATTGTCAAGTGCGGGGGGAAAAAAGGAGAAACATGTAATACTCTTTGTAATAATTTAAGCAATAAAAATACATATTTAAAAAAAAAAAAGAAAAAAAAAGAAAATAGAAGGCAAATTATTGTTTTTACAACAGAAAAAAGTGAAAAAATTTATTAGACTGAAAGCCAATACTCAAATATATAGGACAGAAGCTGATTTTCATGGTAAAATTGAACAAACACAAAAGGCTAAATTCAAGCAACATTTTTAGAGTAATCACTTGAAAATGTGTTACACACCAGTCATCTTAAATCAAAAGCCAAGCTTCACTCATAATCCTAGAAGGAAGCAGTGTGGTTAAAGATAAGACTGTGATTTAGGAGAAAATCTCTATAATACTTCAATTCTGTGGATTGGTTTTTCAAATACTATTCAAATAATTCAATTCAGTAAATATGCACTGGTGGCTTTATTAAGAAGAACGTACCAGTGTCAGACACAGTAAGGATACAAACATAGCCCTTGACTTCACAAAGTGTATAATGTGCTACAAAGGCAATATACACAAGCATAAACTACCAGAAAGTACAGGACATAGTCAAATAGAAATGCATGAGGCACAAAAAGACTGTAGGTAATCAAAACGGGGAGAAATCAAATAAATCAAGATTTCCACAGCAAGTAACAGACATCGAAGGGCAAAATTACTTAAACAATAAGGAAATTTGTTGTCTCACATAACAAGGAACCCACAATTAGGGAGGTTCTATTAAATGGGTTTCAGTTCTAGTCTATGCAATTGTCTTGCCTCTGTCCTCCTTTACAGAAGGGCATCACCTTCAGGCTAGTAGCCAAGATGAATACAGCAGTTACAGATGTTACAACCAGATAAAACAAGCTGTAGGGAGAAGAGGGACCATCTCTTTCTCTCACTTCCTTCTCAAAAGTAAAAAAAAAAAAAAAAAAAAAAAAATCCTTCCCAGAAGTCTCTTGCAGACTTCCCTTTTATTTTAGATTGGCCAAAATTTGGTCTCATGCCCATTACTAAAACAATCACTTCCAAAGGCAATGAGACCTACCATAACCAAGATCAGAATGGATGCTGGTAACTATCATGACCATCACTTCATTTTCTGTTGTTGATGTTGTCTACAGTGCGCAATGGCAGTAATAAGGGTAAGTCTTCCAAGCATAAAGAGTTTGTTCAGAGTATTTTGCTGCAGAACACAGTTGCTGGCCTACTGCATCTGTTATGTGAACCATTCTTTCTAGATTTTGTAGAAATCTTCCTCTGTATTCTGAGGTAATACAGCAGAGGCAGCTACAGAAGGAGAAGGCCTAGTTTCATCTGTTACCACACTTGGGTAGAAGGCACACTTCGGTGGGGTTCCTTGTATATATGCATTGATCTTAAGTACATACAAGAAACATCTCTCTGGATTTTGTCAACCTTGGTCCCTAGTAGTGTCATCTTGGCATCAAGAAGCTTCAACTGATTGCCCATATTTGCATGTAGATCATTCATCTTCCTCCCCAATCACTCTACTATCGAGATAGATTTGTTGTGGATGGCACGTTCCCCATCACTTGATGGGCTGTCAGGTGGTTCATTATTTCTTTTCCTCATTGTTCATGCAACACGTAGAATCATTTCTTCTGTGGTAACTTCTTTAACTATTGGTTCTCAAAAGTCTAAGGACGGAGTCTGGTCATCAGTCTAGGATTCTTCCTCCGTGATCAATACAAGATGTGCATGGTACGATAGACCTGTTGGTGGGTTAGCAGGTGACAGGGATAGTTGTTGGGGACATGGGGACCATTACGTGGGACTGTTTTTTGTTTTTTTGTGGGCTCAGCCATTCTGCATCTTTAAAGATGATTCGGGGTTTTTTTTAGTCATCTGCTATTTGCCAAGTTGGTGACGTGCTGCATGGTCTTTTGTGTGCCTTCAATGATGCAGCTACTATATTCAGTGTAATGCCACATCAGTTAAGAATTGAGGAAATTCAGATTTGAGAAATGAGGAATTAAAAGTAGTTCCAATAAATAAAGCAGAAGTTTCTAAGATAGAACAGTTGGTGGATTGATTGACACCAATTTTTTTTAAAGAGGATGCAAAGGAATATTTATGGGAAACATTCTTGTTTCAATCCTCAGATTGATCAAGGAAGGTAAAGGGAAAATGTAGTGCTATAAGTCATCTACAAAACATGCAGTAAAAAGACAGCAGGGTTGCCCTGGCTGGTTTGGTACATTGGTTAGAGCAGTGGTTCTCAACCTTCTGGCCCTTTAAATACAGTTCCTCATGTTGTGACCCAACCATAAAATTATTTTCGTTGCTACTGCTATGAACCGTAATGTAAATATCTGATACGCAGGATGGTCTTAGGCGACCCCTGTGAAAGAGTTATTCGACCGCCAAAAGGGTCGCGACTCACAGGTTGAGAACTGCTGGGTTAGAGCATTGGTCCGTGGACCGAGGAGGCATGGGTTCGATTCCTGGTCAAGGGCACGTGGCTTGGTTGCAGGTTCCATCCCCAGCCCCAGTCAGGGCTGGTGCAGAGGCAACCAATCCATGTGTCTCTCTCATGTCGATGTTTCTTTCTTTCTCTCTCTCTCTCCCGCCTCCCTCCCTCCCACTCTCTCTAAAGATCAATGGAAAAAAATACCCTCGAGTGAGGATTAAAAATATATATATATATGGCAGGGGCTTGGCCTATTTAACCCATTTCACTAAACAGAGAAGCCTTAAATGGGACCAACACCCAACATATTATTTCAAGGAGGACAGGCCTTTGGAAGATGCATCATTTGGACTGGAGGAAGAAATAAAAAAGAAAAACACAGAGGCAAAGGAAGAGATGAACCTAATTGAAGAAGCAAGTGAAACTGCAATCAGAAACATGCTGTTAGAAGCAAAGAATTCTCTTAAACTGGACTGTTGTCATTCTCATACAAAAGTTAACTTACTATTTAACAGTCAGTAAATGGTAAGAATGTAGGATGAGGAATTCTCTTTTTAAGGAGAGGATTTAAGTTATCAGCAGGGATATTCAGACTCACCACTCCTTGTCAACAGTCATCCACTTAGCTCTCTCTGGGTCGAAAACATTCCATATTATGTATAGAGATGACTGCAGACTCACTGTCAGTAGTTGCTCCTTGAAGGTTTCTTCTCACTTGGGTTGAGGTTTCACTCAAATATGCACACACTCACAACAGGACCTTATCTGCAAATGAAAGCGAACAATTAGGAGGCAAAATGTTGCAGGGATGCCCAGCCAGCGTGGCTCAGTGGTTGAGTGTGGACCTATGAACCAGGAGGTCCTGGTTAGATACCCGGTCAGGGCTCATGCCGGGTGCAGAAGGTAGCCAATTGGTGGGTCTCTTCTCACCATTGATGTTTCTATCTCTCTCCTCCTCTCCCTTCCTCTCTGAAATTAATAAAAATATATATATTTTTAAAAATGTTGCAGAGAGCAATTCTCCCCTCCCCTACCTATGAATAACTAATTCATATGAAAATTGAAGTTAAACACCAGATTCACTAAGCAACATGTTCAAACTAAGCAACCTTTATTTCAAAGGTTGTAATGTACTTATTACAGTTACCACCCTTTCTCATCATATAAACTGATCATAATATCCAGAGTATACCAGGTGCTTTTTTAAAAATTTATTTTTATTGATTTTAGAGAGGAAGAGAGAGAAACATTGATGTGAGAGAAAAACAGTGATTGGTTGCCTCCCACACTCACCCCAACTGGGGATCAAACCCGCAAACTGGACATGTGTTTTGACCTGGAATTGCACCAGCAACTTTTTGGTACACTGGACAATGCTCGACCAACTGAGCCACATCAACCAGGGCCAGGAACAGCTCTTACCAAAGGTTCCCCACTGGACAGAACCCAACACACGTTTGTTTAGTGGACCCACAAGGCTGGCCTACACAGTGTGAAAAAAGATAGCTGCCTACATTTGTGTATCAAAAGACAACATAAAAATCATGATTTCTGAAGTCTTTTGAAAACAAAAAAAACAAACAGCAGTCCAGACAATATGAGGCCCACATTTGCACATGGTAACAATCTGTTGATGATTAACAGCTAATCCTTCAGATAGGATATGGGTTTGCAGAGCTCCACAGGTGTCATCTCTCTCACATACCCAGCTCAGTTATCTATCTGGCCCTGTTGAACTTGCAAACACTGATACTTATTTATAATAACTCACAGGCGATATTTATTACTATCAAAGCCAAGCATGTTTTTTGCCTTGAGGATACAACCTAGAACAGCAGTTCTCAACCTGTGGGTCGCGACCCCTTTGGGGGTCGAACCACCCTTTCACAGGGGTCGCCTAAGACCATCGGAAAACACATATATAATTACATATTGTTTTTGTGATTAATCACTATGCTTTAATTATGTTCAATTTGTAACAATGAAATTGGGGGTCACCACAATATGAGGAACTGTATTAAAGGGTCGCGGCATTAGGAAGGTTGAGAACCACTGACCTAGAACAAGGATAACCACATTGGCTTTGGTGTCAGAGGACCCTAGGTTTGAGCTCTATTTCTACATACAATTTGCTGTGTGACCTCAGGCCAGTTTTTAATCTCTCGAAAATATATTTCTTCATTTACAAGCCTCCAAATAAACATATAACCACTTAACACAATCAACAAACAGGCCTAAAATCTAGTATGTCCAAGCTGAATTGATAATCCCAACTATTTAAATAATGGTAGCTTGAAATTTCAAGGTTCCATATTATGAGGAATATTAGTATTTCATTAAAAGAAAAATGAAGACAAAATGGTGGGGATGCTTCACATCACTCCTGGCAAGGCTGTTGCCTTCTTGATCAATAAACCTCACTCCAAATTCAGATGTTTCAAAAGTCAGGCACAAAAACTTTGGACTGGTAATAGAAACCCAAACAAACTCACTAATAAGAGCAATGAAAACATGTCCACACAAAGAAAATTGGCTAGAGGAGGCAGTACATGATAGCAATTAGGAAAGGAGGCTCAGGAGCCAAGCTGTCAAAGTTTAAATTCTGGTTCTGCCACTTACTAGATGTGTTGACTGTAGTCATTACTCACAATGCCTCACTTTCCTAAACTGTAAAATGGAAATAATTTATAAGGCTATTGTAAGGTTTAAAATAGGTTAATACATGTAAAAGGCCTACAACATGGTCTGGCACAAAACAAGCCTGTAGAAGTATGGCTATGGCACCTTGGATGGTGTGGTTCAGTGGTTGGAGCATCCGCCCGCTCACCAAGGAGTCTTAGGTTCCATTACCGTTCAAGGGTACATACATGTGTTGCAGGTTTGGTCCCTGCCCCAGTGGGGGCATATGCAGGAGGGTCAATCAATCTATGTGCCCATCTCACATCAATGTTTCTCTCTCTCCCTACCCACCGTCCACTCTCTCTAAAAATTAATGGGGGAAAAATATCCTCAGGTGAGGATTAACAAAATAAATAAAAGTAGTATGGCTATCTAAAGGGGAATTGGGTTTAACATATGATGCAACATTATAATAATTTTCTTAATAATATTCAGAGAACATTTTTAAATACATACACACACCCACAGCAACCGCAGTACAATGTAGTGTTTAATAGTTGGATTTTGTTTATAGTCAATTTTAGGCTATTTCATTCTTTCTGATCCTGAGTGCCATGGAGAATTGCAGGCAAGACATTTTACCTTCCTGAGATTTGGATTCTTTCAACAAAGATAAATGAAGACAATGCTACTTATCTCACAGGATTGTTGTGAGAATGTAGTAAGATGTATGAAGTGTTTACTTAGTACAATGCTTGGCACATGGTAACTAAAAACTAATACTATATTATTACACTACTAGTGAAACAAGTACATTATAACTAGAGTGACCATTGGTCCTTATTTGCTTGTGATAGTCCCAGTTTATGCAGGTTTTCACAATGTAATTACTAATCACAGCCATTTCCCTTTCTATGTCAATATGTCCCAGTTTAGATGATAAATTATATGGTCACCCTAATTTATAACTGAAATACTTTTAAGATTTTCCCTTTAGTTAGCTCTTCATCCTCTTAAATGGTCTCTTATTCCCATTTTAGTGACTTACCTCTTTGCTCTCCCAACTCACCATCACCATTTTACACACACACACACACACACACACACACACACAACTCTCCTTATCTAAGTGCTTAGTGACCTGGATGCTTCAATTTCAAGTTCCTCTGTGGTCCCATACTCCTCAGCAATGTCAGGTTTCCCAAACATATTCTTTCTCAAATTCCTATCTGTGCCTCTAATCCAGTGATGGCGAACCTATGACACGCGTGTCAGAGGTGACACGCGAACTCATTTTTTTGGTTGATTTTTCTGGCATTTAAATATATAAAATAAATATCAAAAATATGTCTGTTTTACTATGGTTGCAAATATCAAAAAATTTCTATACGTGACATGGCACCAGAGTTAAGTTAGGGTTTTTCAAAATGCTGACACGCCGAGCTCAAAAGGTTCGCTATCACTGCTCTAATCTATATTCCAGAATAAAACCTAGTGACCTAAAAATACCAGCACCAGCACCAACAATAGATTAAAAATTTAGTTCTCTTTAGGGATATCTATATTTTAACAGGTAACCCCTAGAAAGACAATGCCTTAACTCAAAGTAGAGTCCCTAATAACATGATTGTCAAACACAGCTGATTAGGAAAGATCACTCCTCAAATCAAACAATTTAGGTTAGTTTCTACTAAACGAATATATCAGAACAGCCTTGACTCCTTCCTTTTTACTGGTTCCCAATAATCTAGTCAAAACAAAACACAGATTTTTATCTCTTTAGCTTGCTGAACCCCTAGTACCTAAGTGCCTGACACATAGCTAATGCTCAGTACTTAATGAATGGAATGTTTTTATTTAATCCTACAAAAGAAAACATGTGGATGACTAAAAGATACAACATATCTTCCCTTCGAGGCAAAATAAATCACAGTTCCCAAACTGACCAGTAATCTGTCCTCTTTGTCTTGTATTAATGTTCTATATTGTATCAAATAAGACTGTTGCATTTTGTTATTTTTAAAATATATTTTTATTAATTTCAGAGAGGAGTCCTGAGCAGGAATCGAACTGTGACCTCCTGGCTCATATGTCGATGCTCAATCACTGAGCCACTTCGGCCAGGCAAGGTTGTTCCATTTTAGTTTGATTCAGATTTGATACAGTCTGTGATATACCCAGTAGTGGCTAATTTAATCCAGCCTATATGAAAAAGATAATGTTTCATGGTCTTTGGAATATTAACCCAAATAGTGGGTACTTAATTGAGTCTCTGAACCCTTGTATGTAGTGGCCCTCTTGAACTGACAATATCATTAACATGCAATTTCTTCTACCAGCTGTGCATTTTCATTCAACATAAGAGTGATTCAGTGTGGTATTATTTCTGGTTAAAAAAAAATCATGGAAAAAATATCCTCAAATGAGGATTAAAAAAACACACCACAACACCAGGGCACCAAATTGATAACTAGGAGAGATGAGGAACTCTCCTGGGAGCAAAGCAAGAAATACTAAATAAACTCCTGGCAAGACTCCTTGCATAATCAGTCAATCAATTAATCTATCTTAGATTTAAAATTTGTAAGTGAAATTGGGCAGTGGGTTGTGCAGTACAGGTGTTGCCATGTTTATTAGAATTAAATTAGTCAGACCATTTCTGACAAGAAAACATACCCAATTAGGCTAGTGTGACAATGAGGACTAAAATGTTTTATAGCAATATTTTCTATTAAGGTGAATAAGCAGAACACACAGGGTCAAGAGTTTTGGCAATATATTCTTTAAAAGTATACACAACAGCCCTAGCCGGCTTGGCTCAGTGGATAGAGCATCAGCCTACGGACTGATGGGTCCCAGGTTTGATTCCGGCCAAGGGCACATACCTGCGTCACGGGCTCAATCCCCAGTAGAGGGTGTGCAGGAGGCAGCCAATCAATAATTCTCTCTCATCATTGATGTTTCTATCTCTCTCTCCTTCTCCCTTCCACTCTGAAATCAATGAAGAAATATATATATATTTTTAAAAATGTATACACAACATATAATACTCCAGAAATTACATTTTATGCAACTTTTTAAAACTAAGATGAAAAATGTTAGGTGTCAGTTCTAAAATACCTAAGGAAGTACAAAGTTCCTCAAAA